CACACCACTCTTGGGAAAGGACAGAACATCTAAAAAGAAACTCGACAAAGATACAGAAGACCTAAAGGGCACAATCAGCCAACCTGACCTCACAGACATATACAGAACAATCCACCCTACAGCTGCAAAGTACACATTCTTTTCCAACGCACACGGAACGTTCTCCAGAATAGACCATATCTTAGGCCACAGAGCAATCCTCAACAAGATCCAAAACACTGAGATGACACAAAGTATCTTCTCTGACCACAACGCCATCAAGGTAGAAATTAAAAACAGAAAAAGAGCAAGAAAAATAGATCAATTATATGGAAACTGAATAACACCCTGCTTGCAAACCAATGGGTAATAGGAAAAAATCATCGAGATGGAATAAAAAAATTTCTAGACTCCAACAAGAATGAAAACACATCATATCAAAACCTTTGGGACACAGCAAGTCCTCAGAGGACAATTTATACCAATAGATGCACATATCAAAAAAGAAGGGACAAAATCAAAACATTAACCACACAACTCAAACAAACAGAAAGAGAACAGCAAAAAAAAAGCCCACAGCCACCAGAAGAAAGGAAATAATAAAGATCACAGCAGAAATAAATGAAATACAGCATAGAAAAACAACAGAAAGAATCAACAAAACTATAAGTTGATTCTTTGAAAGATGAACAAAATCGACAAACCACTGGCCAGACTGACAAAAGAAAAACAGGAGGGGACACACAAATAACACAAATAAGAGATGAAATGGGGGACATTACAACAGACCCAACTGAAATAAAAAGGATCATAACAGAGTATTATAAAAAACTATACGCCAACAAATTTGAAAACCTAGAGGAAATGGATACATTTCTAGAAAAACACTACCTACCCAAACTATCACAAAGTGATGTTGAAAATCTGCAGAGACCCATAACAAGAGAAGAAATTAAAAAGGTAATTTAAAAAACTTCCAAAAAAAAAAAGCCCTAGCCCAGATGGCTTCACTGGAGAATTCTACCAAACATTCAGAGAAGACCTTGTACCAGTACTACTCAAACTATTTCACAACACAGAAAAGGAGGCAACACTTCCGAATTCATCCTATGAAGCCAGCATAACCCTGATAACAAAACCAGGCAAAGATGCCACAAAAAATGAAAATTACAGACCAATATCTCTCATGAATATAGATGCAAAAATTCTCAACAAAATTCTAGCCAATAGAATTCAGCATCATATAAAAAAAAATATTATCACGACCAAGCAGGATTCATACCAGGTATGCAAGGATGGTTCAACATTAGAAAATCAATCAACATAATCCACCACATAAATAAAAGCAAAGAAAAGAATCCCATGATCATCTCAACTGATGCAGAAAAGGCATCTGACAAACTCCAACACCCATTCCTGATAAAAACTATCAATAAAATAGGTATAGAAGGGAAATTTCTCAACATAATAAAGGGCATCTATGCAAAACCAACAGCCAACATCATTCTTAATGGAGAGAGGCTGAAAACATTCTCCTTGAAAATATAACAAGACAAGGATGCCCTTTATCACCACTCCTATTTAACACTGTGCTGGAAGTCCTAGCTAGAGCAATAAGGCAAGAAAAAGAAATAAAGGGCATCCGAATTGGTAATGAAGAAGTTAAATTTTCCCTGTTTGCCGATGATATGATATTATATGTAGAAAACCCTAAAGACTCCATGAGAAAACTACGGAACTAATAGAAAGATTCAGCAGAGTAGCAGGATACAAGATAAACATACAAAAATCAGTTAGACTCCTATACTTCAGTAAAGAGAACGATGAAAAGGAAATCAGGAAAAAAATACCATTTATAATAGCCCCTAAAAAAATATAATACTTAGGAATAAATATAACCGGGGATGTGAAAGACCTATAGAAAGAAAATTACAAAACACTACTGCAAGAAACCCAGAGGGATCTACATAAATGGAAAAACATACTATGCTCAAGGATAGGTAGACTCAATACAGTGAAAATGACAATTCTGCCAAAAGCAATTTACAAATACAATGCAATCCTGATCCAAATGCCAACAACATTCTTTAAAGAGATGGAAAAACTAATCATTAACTTTATATGGAAAGGGAAGAAGCCCCAGATAAGTAAAGCACTATAGAAGAAGAAGAAATAAAGTAGGAGGACTCACACTACCTGACCTCAGAACCTACTATACAGTTACGGTAGTCAAAACAGCCCGGTACTGGTACAATGACAGATACACTGACCAACGGAACAGAATTGAGAACCCAGATGTAAATCCATCCACCTGTGGTCACCTGATCTTTGACAGGGTCCCAAAGTCCATCAAATGGGGAAAAGACAGTCTTTTTAACAAATGGTGTTGGCAAAACTGGATGTCCATCTGCAACAGACTCATACCTCACACCATATACAAAAACCAATTCAAAATGGATCAAAGACCTAAATATAAAGCCCAAAACTATAAAGTTCATAGATGAAAAAATAGCATCAACGCTAGAGGCCCTAATACATGGCATTAACAGCATACAAACCATAACCAACACACAAATTCCAGAAGACAAGCTATATAACCGGAATCTTCTAAAAATCAAAGACCCATACTCTTCAAAAGACTTCACCAAAAGAGTAAAAAGAGAACCTACAGACTGGGAAAAAGTTTTTGGACATTACAAGTCAGACAAGGGTCTAATCTCTATAATCTATCAGAAAATCCAACATGTCTACAACAAAAAGACAAATAATCCAGTTAAAAAATGAGCAAAGGAAATGAACAGACACTTCACCAAAGAAGACATTCTAGTGGCCAAAACAGACACATGAGGAAATGCTCGTGAACACTAGCCATTAGAGACATGCAAATTAAAACCACAATGAGATACCATCTCACCCCGGCACAAATCAAAAACACTGGAAATAACAAATGTTGGAGAAGCTGTGGGGAGATCTGAACTCTTATGCACTGCTAGTGGGAATGCATAATGATGCAACAATTTTGGAAAACGATATGGTGCTTCCTTAGAAAGCTAGAAATAGAAATACCACAGGATCCAGCAATCCACTCCTAGGAATATATCCTAGAGAAATAAAAGCCATCAGACGAATGGACATGCACACTCATGGTCACTGAAGCATTGTTCACAATAGCAGAAAGATGGAAACCACCTAGATGCCCAACAGATGAATGGATAAACTACGGTACATACACACAATGGAGTACTATGCAACGACAAAGAACAACGATGAATCTGTGAAGCATCTTATGGATGAAACTGGAAGATATTATGCTGAGTGAAATAAGTCAATCACAAAAGGACAAATATTGTATAAGACCCCTACTGTAAAAACTCATGAAAAAGTTTACACACAAAATGTAACAATCTTTGTTGGTTACAAGGGATGGGAAATACTAAATAGACAAGTGGTAACTATGGTGAAGGGTAAGACAGTACACAATACTGGGGAAGCCAGCACAACTTGTACAAGGAAAGGTCA